ATTGAGGGCCTGCAGATACGTACCAGTCTATGATTGAGTTGCCCTGGTACTTCATCATTCTCGTGTTTTGCTGATAAACTGTGTGATTATTTACTTGTGCTGCTAATAAGGTAAAAAATCAGTGCCTTTTATACATATATTTACCTTTAACGTTATTGTCAATAAGGGTCTTGAAGTAAAATCAATCGCAGGACAGTTAAAAGATTAAGGATCTGTGCAAATTATAGAATGGTAAATTGGTGGAAAATATTATTTTCTAGTAAAAGTAACAATTGAAATTTTAAACTTTATGTTTACCGTTATTGGCTTAACACAGTGTATTTGACACTCTTTGAAAGATTATAAATCGATAGAGGGCGTAATTTTAAAGCAAGACATGAAATTATTTCATATGTGAAACTTAAGTTTTTAACACAATGGAGTGCAGTAAAGTCGATATCAACATTCTTTTGTGAGTGGACATGCTAATATTTATACATTCATTGACTTGATACTGGTTTTTTTTCACGATATAACACTGCTGCGGCACAGTGTGTGCCTAGCCCACCTAATTTTAGTAAGTGGGCCAAACCCTCTTGCACCCGCCACCAAAAATTTACGAAAGAAATGGTTAAGGCTGATTTTTTACAATATAACAGACTGACTTTGTGCGAAGCATGGTTCACATGGTTTATAAAAACACTGCATTATGAAAATGTCGTCTAGGAATTTCCCTCATTTGCAAATCATGGATATACTATAATGTTATGTCCTCACACACATCTGTGTCAATGTATTATTTGGCTATCCATGGTATGATGATGTCATCAGCATACCCATATATGGATAAACAACATATTTACATAAGCCTTGTTAGTGTGAACATAGTCTATATTATATGTTTGCACAGATTACTAAACGCCACAATGATATCAAGTATGTCTACTATAAATTTTATTAAATCTAACATTCGTATAATAACTGCTTTGTAATAATACAAGAAATATGACTGACAACCATTATAAATGCAAAATCTGACATAATTCTTGAGTCGCTTCTAAGTAAAGTAAAATATGATGTTGCTGTAGGTGAACAATCCCTAGTGACGTCATAATTCGCAAGGAGTGTGGCGGTGCAAGCCCCTGAAAAAAACGTTTGACTTCATACGGCACCGCCCCCTCGTTACTGGAAAATAGCGGAGTTCAGTTAAATTTACATTAAAATAACCACCACTCTTAGTTAGTTTCCCTAATTATCCTTTGTTCGCTATCAGCTCGGCATGTTAATAAACTGTTGCATCCCTCACCTCAAATATATACTTTTTTGTAACATTTTTCTGCAATCTGTACCGTACGTTACAGTAAATATTATTTTGTGAAAAATGGGTGCTTATACATCGGCATGACGATATCATGGACATGGACATGGATGTTGTCATATCACATCTAGGCCTATATATGGGCATGATGGTATCATGTCACATCTATATATGGGCATGATGGTGTCATCACATATGGGCATGATGGTATATCACATCTATATATGGGCATGATGGTGTATCACATCCTAGCATGGTATTGTGATTACTTATTATATATCAGCATTATGATGTCACATAATACCAATATATGGGCATGATGTTGTCATCACATCTTGGGAACGAAGGTGTCACATCATAACCATCTATTGGTATCATTGTCGTTACACCCATTAATTTGGTAAAGTCTACAACAAAACAAATGGACAACTCTTTAATTATATTAAGCCAAATAAGCAAAACTAAAATTCTATGCTGTAACGTTAACATTATGGCCTACGATGATAACAAATCAACGGTTAAATTAAGTTGCGAAATCCAAACATCGCCCCAATAATTAGTCATGAGAGGCGCACCATACTTCTTCATCCCATTCGCACGCCCCCTCCACCCAACGGTCATCGTTTCTATCCTGGGCCTAGACCTAGGTTAACTTAATCAACTTTTTTAAAACAATAAAAACATTAAAATTCAAATAAACGCAGTAACTCACGGAGTCTTCCAATGTCAAATTTGTCCTTAGACGAATAATAAATGAATGAAACGGAGTCAGAGTGATAAATTACGAATTTATAAACACTGTAGGCTAACGTACGTACTGACCTTTGTCTTACTATTTTATGGAGCGCAACATGCGCACAAAATAATAAGAAATCCCGGAATACAATATATGGGCAAATCACATTTGTCACAAGCTTAATGTGACGTAGCTCTAATGATTGTCTTCTTGTCTGTAGCTTAGTGTGGACGTAGCTCTAATGATTGTGTCTTCTTGCCTGTAGCTTATTGTGAACGTACCTCTAATGATCGTGTCTTCTTGCCTGTAAGTTCACCTGGAACAGGCAACCTGCTTTAGCAACATTATGTCTGAGACTGGCCAATAGCCTAAACGTTTACAACTGCATCATGATTGACATTGGCCCACATATCAATTACTGTATAATTGATTCTGCTAAGCCCTTCACACCATGAATTGCTGAAATTCCACAAAACGATGAATATTCATAGAAAAAATATGACTGAATGTGTGTTGTGGGTCATGCGCATGGTTACAAAGTAAAGTTCCTTTATTCAGTTGTATGAAAAAAGTGAATGGTGGATTCGAGCCTAATGGCCCCTTTCGAGTTTTTAAAGTAAACGTAAAAACGTAGTATCACCAAAGATCGTATAACGGCGCGTCTCAATCGTCAAAATACGAGCGGATGGCGAATGCTACTTCGAGCGGAAATTATTTCGAGCAGATTCTAACATTTCTGGGCATCCAGAGTGACACGTTCTTAACATGTTCGCACTATATTTCCAAGCACTCTGAACATGAGGATGGCATGGTCTCTTTCCTTATAAGGATATTTAGTAAAACTGAACTTGTAATAGGCCTTTTGGGAGTGTCAATCATCTGAGCCCTGTATGAAGAGCCAATTCGATATATTTAATAACATTTTAACAATCTTACTTCATAGATTTACTTTGATGACTGATAACCATGGTGATAAAAACGTCTGTGCAATACAAACTAAGACACTTTAAAGGGTATAAGAGAGCATCCAGCTATAAAAGTGCCATACTTTTTTTTAAATGTTATACCTCAGCCCCAACCATAATATTTTTAGCATCCCTCTATCCAACACGTACCCCTAACGAAACATACTGGATCCTCTTCTGTTTTCTCATTTTATTTTTAAATGTAAATTTAACTAATAGAAAATTTATATAAAATAGAATTGCTCTTTAAAAAAAGAAACAAAAAAAAAAAAAACTCATAACAGTACGTCTTTGTCAATCTGGTGGAAGAAAATCTCAACCGATTGTTTCGGCTAATTTTGCAGCCATTGCAATGGAAACACTGTGCAACAGTGTAGGGTAGTTATTATTATCATCATCATCATCATCACCATCATCATCATCGTCATCATCATCATCGTCATTATTATTATTATTATTATTAATATGATTATTATTATTATTATTATCATTATTATTAACACAAATAATTTAATGAAACAATGTGGTGGTTAAACGAACATTACATAATTAAATAATATTTTTTTATATTTGTTTATTCCACCCCGCCTCCTTTAGCGTCCCCACCGATAGCCATATCAATGAAAAAAGTCCTTTATCAATTGTTGTGAAATACGTCTTTTTCACGCTGCAGTAGCAGCAAAGCGTAACCAACAGAAATAACATAGCATTTTGACCATATTTTCAGAGGCCAATACTTAAAAAATCATAAATCCTTAACGGGGGGGTCATGTTAATTCGTTTTTTGTCTTAAGTATATGGAACTAACAAAACGGAATCTTATAAGAAATACTAGTACTAGATTCGCTGGAGTCTCATAAACATATTAACATTGAGTTTCCGGGATCACAGCGTCAGTTTTGATGAGACTAAACTTCTAACCGTGGAACCGATTGGTTTGAGACAGGGGTCAAGGAAGCCTTCACATCAGGCCAACAGCCCAATGTTAATTGGAGATGGTGGAAGACCTTATCTTCCAAACATATAGAACAACACTTTTAAAGCAAGATTGAGGGGTGAGGTGGGGTGGGGGGGGGGGAAAGAATGGCAGGCCCCGACAATCTCTGACACAATTTTCCATCGTGTTTCATTGTGAACAAGATTACAGTGATAGTCAAACGCTCAAAACTTAAGTTCCTTCGTTTTCTGCTTTATTCAGGGATATAAAGTTTATATATTATATAAACTTATATAATACTATAATACTATAAAACATATATTTATAATAATTTATTAGCACAAGTCAAGCCATATAAAATGCATTTGAAAACTTAGAATTAAGGAAAAAGTACATTAAAACAAATAACACTGATAATACTATACATCCAAGAACTGATAATGATAAATATACAAAAATATATATCACAGGTAATGAGAATTAAAACGCAAAATATTGCAAATGCATTTTGCACCAGAGTTTTTTTTAATTATATAAGTACGTGTCGTTACTTGTATAATCAAAGCCATCGCTAACTACCCTCCACTCTAATGAATATTTCTCTCAAATTACAGCCCACCTTAACCAATTAAATACAACTAGAATTGAAATCATAATCTCTAAACCGATGTCAATTTCATTCAATCACACATTTTTTTACATCTTTCAGTACGATATTGTTCATTACATCCACACTGCATGCACGACGAAAGCTTGTGTATCAATAATGTTCTACCAATTTCTGTTGCTCTTGATCATTAATCTACTCTGGGTGAACATTGTCACAATTTCTATTATTTACACAATTAATTATTAAGAAGGCTAACAAAACAGAAATCAAAACAAAGAACAGGAAGATGTCATTCACATTTGAATTATCTGAAGCTTGGTTTCCATAGAATCGCTACACAGTCGCAGCGTTTTCAATGCAATAATTGCACTGCGCAGCTGTCCCCGACGCAATCGGGAACATTCCCTGATTCGACTGACCAATCAGCGTCACCAAAGCAGTCGGCGGAGAGCGTG